AGGCATAGGTGTGTTGTCATTTTGCAAAAACCTTCTGTTCTATTTGTTTGTTGAACAAGGCCATTCGGTCCTTCAAAATATTTTTATAAAATTAAAAAAAATACTAGAAAAAGTGATTAATTTCATACCTTGTTATAACCAAAAATAGACTCATGGTGTCAGTGTGTACTAGTGAATGAGAAGACGTGTCTCTATTCCTCCCTGTGGATTTATGATTTTAGACTCATTTGGCTGCTGGAACAGACGGAGCAGAACAGAGGAGGAAAAAATATTAAGACTAAATATTGCTGAATAAAAAAGCTGAAATCTTGGAGTTACTTGGAAACGGGGTCAAYSTTTAGATTTTCTGATTTGCTGTAACAATGGCGCGCAGAACTGCGCTGCACTGCGGCCTTGCTTTTGTTTTTCTGTGTCTCCYCCTCGTCAGTGGAGACGTGAGCTACTCTGTTCTGGAGGAGATGAAACGCGGATCTGTGATTGGYAACATCGCAAAGGATRTGYGTCTGGATCTGGGAACTCTGTCTGCTCGGAAGGCTCGTATWGACACAGAAGATAGCAGTGTGAAATACTGCGGAGTGAATCTGAACACCGGAGAGCTGARTGTGCAACAAAGGATCGACAGAGAAGCTCTTTGTGCCAAAAGGGTGTCGTGTGTTGTYAAGCAGGAGCTGGTGCTGGAAAATCCTTTGGAGCTTCATCGAATTAATCTTCGCATTCAGGACATAAATGACAATTCACCACAGTTTAAGGAGGATTCACTTAAATTAGAAATTCAAGAATCTGCTGATAAAGGTGCAACTTTTCTTCTTGATGAAGCGCATGACGCAGACATCGGAGATAACGCTGTCCAGGGCTACTCACTTCAACAGAATGAACATTTCAAGTTGAATGTTAAATCAAAAGGAGTTGGCCGAAAATACAGTGAGTTGGTTTTAGACAAAGAGTTAGACCGAGAGGAGAAAAAGGAGATTGTTTTACTTCTTACTGCGTTTGATGGTGGATCTCCTCAGAGATCAGGTACTGTAGTTATTCATGTCTCTGTGCTGGATGCTAATGATAACGCCCCAGTGTTCAGTCAGGCTGTTTATAAAGCCACTCTGCCTGAAAACTCTCCTGCAGATACTGTAGTGGTTACTGTTAGTGCTACTGATGCAGATGAAGGAGTGAATGGAGATGTAAGTTATGATTTTGGACATGTTTCTGAGGAAGTGAAGCAAATATTTAGTATTGATCGTAAAAAAGGAGAAATGCGCGTAATTGGTGCTGTTGATTTTGAAACTACAACATCATATGAAATACGCGTTAAAGCAAAGGATGGACTGGGTCTGTC